TAATAAGGCTTGGCTGTGTGTTCCCCAGTAAGTACTGGTTAACTACCCATTAGCTCCTGATTTGTTCCTGAGGCGTTCCCTAGTAGTTAATCAAATTTTGTGTACCTTATTGTAAAGTGTTACCACATTTTCACTGATGCAGTTTTACTGTAGCACTATGTAAGCTCAGTGCCCCCTGACACACCCTCGGCTTGCTGTAACTCAAATGTAACATAAACATGTCTCGCATGCAAGCGACGCACGGACATCCTGTTTTACATAGTCCTGTTAAATGCAGATGGTGAACCATAATGGTTCAAATTTACCAAACGGTTGACACGTACAACAAAGTTAAAGCTGCATCACAGGCTGTGCTGCGTTTTGGTTAAATATTTTTGGTGAAACGCAGCATTTATATAAAACAAAAGGTCCCTCTTTTAGTTTAAATCCACCAAGTGAAAAGGTTTGGGTGCTCGTTTCAGCCGTGGGCATGTTTTCTGAGCTGAGTCCAGTCTAAATATAATCTCAGACACCGACAATTAGGACCGTTGAAGTTTCATTTGAAAACCGACTCCGAGGCTGAAAGCTTTACTTTTGCTCAGCTCTATATTGGTACATGCCTTGTTTGCTGGTCTTGATCTTCCATCTGCATCTCCATTTGTTTATGTAAATCTTTTTTCAGGCATCTGAAAGGGCCTAAATGGAGAGTGAAACTAAAACTTTATTGTAGCTTTGTCACACAGTTTGCGTCTATATTCAATCATGTTTAGTGGGTTTACCCGCCGTCACGTTCTTGTTTCCTGGAGTCACTCCTGTTGTGGTTGAACCACAGCAACATGGCTGCGTATGTTCTGTCAGAAGGGTCTGGTTGAGTCACCCGCTCTACCGTGAGGGACTGCTACCGCAACATGCTGTACAAATATAGACCACAACACTGGCTGCAGGCTGCTCGGCGCTGTTTGACTCAAGCAGCTGTTCGTGTGCCTGAAACGTTGCCGCCACCAAATTGCCTGTTTGGTGGCGTTTTTGAAACCATGGTTAGTAAATCATTCGTCATGTTGTGTTTTTTGTCTTAATGTCTTGCAGATGATGTAAATGGTTATGACCAACATGCCTCATCAAGCACAGGATCCCAGGGACCGTCTGCGGTAAGCACCAACTCGCACCGAAACTGCACTCAATCACTGGCATCATGACATTTCCACAAAGCAGCTCATATTTATATTAAATAACAAATCTTCACAATTTAAATGATTCAGCTATTCTTGGTTTTTTTCGTAGAGTACAATCAACGGATTTTGAATTCAAGCACAGTGTTTAAATATCTAAACTCAAATGCATACTTTGTTGTTTTTTTAGGAGTTTTAAGAGTTTTACATAAAAAAGCATTCTTCAATTTTCTTCTTTCTCTTTTCCACCCATTAAAACAACCAGGTTTATTTTTGTATCAGAAGGAGTAACATCTAACGGCGTTAGTTTTGTTGACTGCTAAATATTGCTCTAATGCTCGTCTATTTTCCTCCTTTTACACTAAAGTCTCCTCCTGGAGTGAATGTGGAGACTTGTGAGTCTCTCAACACCAGCCTGGTCTCCCTGGCTGCCTCCGACCTAAGTGAATGTGTTCAGTACAGATCTGTGCCCTTAGAGCAGATCAGTGCTCTGTCCGGGGTAAGATGCAGTACCAGTCAGGGCTGCAGATGCATGCTGTTGTCAGTGTGGGGTTTCTCTGATGTAAACTCATAACTGAAGCATCCAAAACTGACTAAAACATGTCTGCGATTCCATCTTGTGTCTTATCAAGTGCTTTTTAACACGATAGTAACTCGTTTATTGTAGTGTTGCTGCTACACTCTTAATGGCGTGTTTTGTCAAATCTCCTGGTGCTCGTCCCTTTCTCACTGTCCACTCGGTTCCTCCACAGCTTTCGAGAAAACGGGCACTATTCCTGAAGTATCGTTCCAGGGTATGGCATGGTAAAACAGGCTTGTGTTGTCATGCAGCTTTGTGCATATATCTGTTTGCCTGCCAGACTTTCATCCTGTCAGTGTTGAGTTTCTCTACTTGCATTAGTAATTCAGAGAATGAAGCTTGAACATGAGAGAAATCAATACATATTTCTGGCCAGGGAGCTGATGCTGGCTTGTAGAACGCACGTTTGTTAGGAGAGCTATGGAAACATGCTCTGCTGTATCTTGAGAGTTCAGTGAAAATGGAAAACGTCTTTTGACTAGCTTGTTTTTTCTCACCTGCGATGATTTTTTTGCTTCACTTAGAAGAAAGCGGCGGCCTGATGGTGTTATAGGATAATTAGAGGGCTAACACCTTGACATAAACATGCAAGTCACAAATTAGTGTGTGTGTTTAAATCTATGTATATTCTAAGTACAGTGCATGTAGTGTCATCAAGGTGCCGCCCTGTAGCTCATGACAGAATGACAAAGCGCTGTAGCTAAACATATGCATGGTAGGCCTTTTCAAATCCTCTTGTTTATGGTTTTGTTAGAGTAGAAAGTGCCCATTTTAATAGCACACTTTTCATATTAAAAGCTTCTTTAGTAATTTGGATCCCTTCAATCAAAGACTCCAATTAAACTAAGTGTACTTTTAATCCTTTCAAGACATTTTAGAGAGGGACTTCTGCAAACGCTTTGTATTATTTAATGACTTTATATAGTTCTTGGGAACAAGTTGGTTTATTCATGCTTTCAGCAGGGTCGTCTGTGCCTGACTCTGACATTAAATAAAATATCATGCAAGTTTACAGATCCAGGTAGATAAAGCTAACAGATCTTTACAGTTTAGATTACATTTTAGGATGGCAAACATTTATTGTATGCAGTAATAACATAACCATATCTCGGTACTTTGAAAGAAAGAAACTTTACTCAGATATAAACTGTTACTGGAGAAGGATGCTGGAGTTGCACGTGTGTGTGATTGACTGGAGTTAATGAAGGTGAACTCTGAAGGCCAAAGCTGACTTCTAATTTCTCCTCCCTGAAATTAGAAGTCAGCTCAAGATACACCTTGCTTTAACTCCCCTTAGTTATTATAAAGGACGCATGTCTGTTGAAACACCCGGTAGTTTGGTGGTTAGTAAATGCACAGAAAGGAGTTGCAGTTTCACTGAACATGCAGATGGACGGGCAGATGCACCGATTCCATACAGCTGATCTGTAATTTTGGCAAATTACAGAGTTTCTGCAGCTGCATCCAAGTTAAAGCAAGCGCCCACCCTGTCAGGGTCAACATGGTCCAAATGTGGTCTGGAAGGTAATGCAGGCCTGTGGTTAAAATGTGCGCTTAACTTTGGATTAGAGAACTGAACAAATGTTCTGTACACGTTTGCAGCTTTAAGTTGTTGCAAAAGGAGCCAGGAGTAGAGCTATACTAAGTTAACTATAGTAGCTTTAAAACTGAAGATGTACTTTTTGTTTATTTTAAAGCAGTTTAATTGTGCAGCATTGTTTTTTACATGTATATATATTTTTATCATTACCTCTAATAATGTCATCAAATGGTCAAGATCAAATGGAACGGTCATTCATCTTATATCAGTTACTTTTATTTTCAGTAATTTACTCTGATCAGACTATTGTAACCCTAAGTGTTCAGTTTTACCTGTTGGGTCAGGGACGGCTCCATCTCAGAACTTAAAATGCATCTTGTGCTCCAGCCACGACTGCACGGCAAAACTATTGTTCAAGTTATTGTTATTTTTTTAGTTTACATTCATGGGATTTCAAAAGAAAATGCCCTGCAGAAATTGATGGAGGTTCATCATCAGTCTTGTGACTAAACAGCAGATGGTGTTTATATTGTAGCAGAAACATTTTAATAAAAAGACCTCAGAGCAGTTTCAAGTCCATTCCACCAGCATGTTAACATTTCCACCAAACAAATACAACGCCCACATATTGGCTCATTGTGGTCTGTCAGACCATAGTTTTTGCTCTCATGTTTTGTGCCTGTGTGTGTGTGTGTGTGGCAGATTGTCTCCATCTTTAATTTGATGTTATATAATGATGGGGCTGTTTCCTTGGAGTCTGCTGTCCTTGCCTGATTACATCTGTATGTAAATTAGAACAAATTTGCACTATTGTTTTCTGAAGCTGATACCCAAAACCTAAACAATCAAATGCTCTTATGAAAAGCGTGCACCGTGTTTATGGTACGGAACAATATTTGTTCTGTGTGCAAACAGACACCCAATAAAAGGAGGAGGGGTGAGGCAGGACACCAGTACAGAATCCAGAACTGATTATGAATTCACAGAACTTGGGCCAGACTGGGCAGCAGATTTAATGTCTATGTGAAACATGACACAGGATGTTGCTCGCTCCCTTTCTAGATGCTGCACCCTCATTAGCTGGCAGCAGCTCTGCTACTCATGTGCTGATGTCATTTCTGGGATGCTGCTTCTTTAACCCTCCTCTTCAGTAAAGAGAAGAGTGACCAAGCAAAGGGAGTGTTGCCCTGAGAAGTCTAGTGAGCTTCATGGAAGGAAGATCAATGTAGTAGGAGTGAGACAGGCGGTGCAGCTTTCAGAGCTGGACTCTGGCCCCTGGAGTAAGGCGGTTTAGCAGCTAATGCATCACAAGCATAAAACGAGTGGGCCATGGAGGTAAAGTGCACTTTCTTTCCTCCCTTTCTGCACAGCACTGGGTTGATGGACAGAGCAGACTCTGTCAGATTGATGACTGAGTGGGATGTGGTTGTTTTGGACGTGTGGATGGCCTTCTCCTTGTTGTACGTGTTGGAACCGGCTGTAAATAAGTGTATGAAGGTGCACTGTATGTAGCTATTTTTAGCTTTGTGAACAGCTGAAGCAGCACAGACAGAAGCCTTGTCCTCTCTTTCTACATTCCTGTGCAGTGCATGTTTTTGCCAGTGCAGTTGCTTCTTCAGGGTTAGCATAGCTGATTCACATTATTGGAAATTCTGCTACCACAGCACTCGTGGTCTGTCAATATAAAAACAAGATAGGCTAAAAAGTCTAAAAGTCCAGGGAAGCTGGAGGCTTGGACTTTAAGTCAAAGCTTTTACTGAACTTCTCTGTTTCATCCTGAGGGACATGCAGCAGATTTATGTAAAAGCCTTTTATTCTCTATTTATCTATAAATCATTTTAAGAGAGCTTGAGCAAAACACATCTTAGACATAAGTGATGCCCTCTGTCAGCATGTGGTTTGTGTTTGAAGTGAAAAGACAATAATCAGTGTCTTAGATGCAGATGAGTAATTTAGTGTGAAGTGATGTTGAGGCGTGAAACCCTGAGTAGTTTAACTCTGTGCTTGTGTCGTGAGTGCATCTAAAGATGTTCTAAGTCCACCTTTGTGCATGTGTGATTAAGTGTTGGCATTTGTGTGTTATCTCGTTTCAGATTGACAAACAACAACAGAGTAAAGACTCTGTGTTCTTCAGAGATGGAGTGCGCAGGATTGATTTCGTCCTGTCTTATGTCGACGATAAGGACGACGAGAGGAAACTGGTACGAAATAAAATATTTCTGGTGCACATACAAGCTACATGCATGTTTTCTTACATTACTAACTGTAAGTACATGCATGTAAAGTTTTGTCACTACTGTATGTGCATGTTTTTGTTGAGAAATATTATTTTTTTATTTAATATTTATTTCCAGCAACACGCGACTGATTGGATCATCTTGAACATATTGCACAAATAAAAGCTTATGTTATTTCCATGACTTCAGTTTCCCATTTAAAAGCTGCTTCGTGCGGGAAATCCTCATTTGTGTTGCTGCATCCTGCTCTAAATACCACAGCACTGATAAAATCAGCTAAACTTTTTTCTCAAGCTAGTTTTCAAGAAAGGGCAGCACGGTGGTGCAACTGGTAGAGCTGCTGCCTCTCAGCGAGCAGGTTACCCTGGTTCAGATCCCGGTCCGGGGGCCGCTCAGGGTGGAGTTATCATGTCCTCTCATGCATGCGTGGGTTTTCTTCGGGTACTCCAGTTTCCTCCCACAGATCAAAAACATGCATGTTAGACTGATTGGTAACTCTAAATTGTCCCTAGGTGTGAGTGAGAGAGTGAATGATTGTTTGTCTCTATTATGTGTCCCTGTGATGGACTGGAGACATGTCCAGGTGTCCCCCGCCTCTCGCACAGTGACTGCTGAACATGGGCACCAGTGACCTCCGTGACTCCAAAAGGAAGAAACTGCTAAAGATAATGGATGGATGGTTTCCAAGAAGACAAACTCTACTCAGATATTTTCAGTCGAGATTTTGTTTTTTTAGAAATCTATATTTTGTTTTGTTTCCACACTCTCTGTGGCCATGACTTATTGTGTGCAGGGTTTTTTATCAGAGTGCTGACAGACTCTGTTTCAGACTGAGCTGTTAGCCTTCACACCAAAGTGTCACCATTCCTAGGCTTTAAGGACGACTCACACTTTACACACATTTTCAGCCAGTGAGTCAACAGCAAATACCTCTGGTCCAGGCAGAAAGTGGATCACTTTTTCCACTTTGGGAGGAAAAGGGAGCTAGAGGGCACTTCCTGTGCTTCATCCACAAGCGTTGCAAAATACTGCACTAAATCAGAACTCGTAACCGGAAGGTTTTAATTCCTCATGTAAGCTCTTTCTCACCGCAGATACAAAAAGTATTTGTCAAATGCATGATTCTGAAAATATGAAAACAATGCACCATATGGTAGCTTTTATAATATCACTGTGTTATCACAACTGATTATCACAACCTGTTTTTACTACTGTGAGTGTTACACCAAATTTACTGAACGAGGCTAGCTTAAATTTAGCCACAAATCACGCTGTAATTTACAAAATAACGCTCGTATTTGTAGGAGCTCTATTCACAGCACTGACCATGATTTCCTGTTCATCTTCATTTTACCTGCAGATTTGTGTCACGGTTGCCCATTTCTCATTGGTTTGTACATCCATAAAATAAAATGTAAACTCTGAGCCTTTTTATTTGCAAACAAAGATACTCAGTGAGCTTGATTTCTGGTTTTCTTTTGCATAATATTCTATCAGCATATGATTTCATATCTGTACTTCTCATAGCATTCAGGCATTCCTCACTGTTTCTGTGTTTGATCTTGTTTGCGCTTTAATTTTCTTCTGAAGGAGAAGAGGAGGGTGTATGAATCCAACTTAGCTAAAGTTGGCCTGGAGCTGGAAACGGAAGATAAATCTGTAAGAGTCTCATCACTAATTTGCTTATGTCTAAAAATGTCACCTCAAATTCAGCTTTTACTACCAAATCACGTTCTAGTTTCAGTAACGTGTGTGCTCTGTGTTCATCATCAGGAGTCGGAGGATGGAAAGACCTACTTTGTGAAGATCCACGCTCCTTGGGAAGTTTTGGCAACCTATGCAAACGTGCTGAAGATCAAGGTTCCATTCAAGGTCGCCGACACACAAGAGAACAACAAAGAGATTCCCATGAACTGGCTGTCCACGCCTTTCCGTCTGCCTAAGCACATCATGAACCCCGAGCCAGATTATTTCACTGCTCCCTTCAACAAGGACAAGTCTGACTTCTTCCTTATCGACAACAAAGACACGTTCTTCCCTCCTTCATCTCGCAACAGGATAGTAAGCATCCATATTTATCTTGTTTATGACCTTCAAAGTTCAAAACCAGCAATGTTTTCACACTAACGTCAAAATATCAAGTTTAGTTTATGGAAGAACTTTGTGTTTCTTATTGGAAATGGTTATAACCACAGGGGCCTTTTTTTACTCTCTAACCAGGTCTACTACATCCTGTCTCGCTGCTCGTACATCAGGGAGGAATGTGGAGATGTGGACAAGAAGGGAATCAAGAGGTTGCTGAATAATGGCACCTACACTGCTGCCTTCCCTCTTCATGATGTGAGCAGCTTTAAGTCAACCTGTTCTTTTCTTGCAATAAAAAAGGAATTTTTACTCACTGCTCTGCGACAGTTACATCCTGCTAAAAGCAGCGTTTATTGGTGAAGAGCAAGGATACAGTAAACTTGACAATAACGTGAGTTCTCTGTGTGTCTTCAGTCAAGATACTGGACAAAATCAAAAGATCCAAACTGTGAAAGTGAAAGATACACCCTCTACAAATACTGGGCTCGATTCCTGTGTTTCTTCAAGGAGCAGCCCCTCGACCTTGTTAGGTAAAACCACAGAACCAAGAGCTGCAGTCTGTCAGTAAAGAATCAGGAGTAAAAGCACAGTTTTTGTGTCTTCAACAGAAAGTATTATGGGGAGAAGATCGGCATTTATTTTGCCTGGCTTGGCTTCTACACCGAGATGCTGCTGTTCGCTGCAGTCGTGGGAACAATTTGTTTCATTTATGGATTCCTCACCTACGACGACAATGAGTGGAGGTTAGTTCCACAAATTAAAAGCCTAATAGCCCAGTCGATGGTTTCAGAAACTTTACTTTTGTATTATTTTAATTGTCTAATTATTGCATGTCTTTTTCCCCCCCCCAAAGTAAAGAAATATGTAGCGATCAAATTGGAGGGAATATTGTCATGTGTCCGCTTTGTGACAAGAAATGTGGCTTCTGGAAACTCAACACAACGTGCAACTCGTCGTGGGTGAGTAATTTGTGCTCTTTGTGACTCATGTTCTTCCCACAAATCATGACATTTAAAGAATGGTTGCAGATAAATACGAACAATAAACAAATCTGTTTTTTTTTTTAATTCATTTATTATGTCTTAAACATGTTTGTCTTGCAGCAATCTCACCTATTTGACAATGTGGGAACAGTGTTTTTTGCCATTTTCATGGGAATTTGGGGTGAGTAAGCATATCTGCTCAATGTTTTCTGTTGTGAAACACAGGGTGCCACCTAGTGGATTTATTTGTCGCTTCAATTTTTTAGCATTTCCTTCTTGAAGTAATGGTTTCATCAAAAAGATAAATTGTGATTTACTCTTTCAATATTAAAGGCTTGAAAATGACTTGAAAAGTAACAAATGAGAGTCTTAATAACATCCCTTTCCAGGCATATTCTCAATACGTATTCTGGACAACTAGTTTACGTGGAGACAGTTGTTTGTCTGGTGGTATATATCTGGTGTGACGGGTCGTTTCTCTGCAGTGACACTGTTCCTGGAGTTCTGGAAGAGACGGCAGGCCCGCCTTGAGTACGAGTGGGATCTGTTTGACTTTGAAGAGGAACAACAGCAGCTGCAGCTTCGACCAGAGTACGAAACCAAGTGTAACGACCACAGGCTGAACCCCATCACTAAGGTGTCTGTGTACTAATTAAATATACTAATTTACTGTGGGATAAGATTCTTTTAGTCAGTTTAACTGTTATGAGAATGACTGAATGATAAGACTTGATCGCAGTATCAGTTAGCTATTTGAAGCAGGTTTGAATGGAGGCTGTTTGATTTAGGGCTATAACCAGTTCATCTGGTAGAGTTTAAGTAAAAACAATGCCGTGCTTGTAAAATGAACAGATTGTTGCAACTTCCCATCACCACATCCCGCTCATCTTTAGGAGCCAGAGTGGGTACTTGACAGAACTGTTTCAGATATAGCGGGGAAGTTGTTACTGTGCTGGGCCACAGTGATCTTGTGGGTAAGTGTGGCGCTCGGCATGGACTGACCGTTTGGTGAGGGAGAGGTTTTGTTGTGCTGTAGTTTTGATAGATAACAGACATTTCTGGAAAGACTCAGAGGGACGAGTTTCTTTCTAACGAGTTTAAAGTTCATCTTTTGGACGAGAAGCTTTTTAACAGAGAAAACACAAAGTTCTGACTGGTCAAAGCAGTTCAGCCTCACATGTGAGGTTGTAGAGTTGATTTAAGGAACTTGGCCTTCTTGAGTTCTCAGATTATAACCGACTGACCGTCATGTTGATGCTTTGCTTGCTTCTGATTTAGGAAATGGAGCCTTACTTACCCATAACAAGCAAGTGTGCACGCTCATGTCTGTCTGGAGCCACCGTCCTGTTGTGGGTGAGCATTGTATTTTTGATACACTTGATCCATTTAAAGTGCTTCCATCTACCGTCTTCTCCTTCTACCATTCTCGATAGTCTTCCTCATCAGTTCAACCAGGGCTTGTAAAACAAAGGTGAAAGGAGGCAACTTAAAAAGAATGACAGCTGTGATCACATTATAGATTTTAATAAACTCATGATAATGCTTGTTAACTAGTCTTTATATTCACAGTGAGGCAAAATGATGGCATTCTTAAAAACAGAGGTAGATCAATTGGTCAGTCAGCTTATTAAATTGATTTTTGCCATAAAAAATGTGAATTGGCCTGAGTTTTACTAAGATAATTAAAAGGCAGGCACAGCTGCAACACAATGTTGTTTTATTTGACCTTACTGTATGCTCTTTTACTAATGGACTTCCCAGAATTAGATTAGTTTTCTTTATGGTAAAGGTGCTTTTATATACAACATTAGCAGACCCCAAATTAAGTTGACCCAAATATTAAGTTAAGTTTTGAAAGAACAGTGTGGTGTTTATCAGAAAAAGGAGTAATACCTTGATTTTTATCTTAAAGAACTGTATGTTTTTTTAACTGGTTTGTCTGAAAATTGTTATTTTACTAAGGAAAAGTTAACAAACTCACACTGGAGTATTCAGTAAACTCTAGCACAGGTCAGAATGTGCACCGCATCATCGGAACTTGAGATTAAATCACTAAATTACAAGCAATCACAATATTTTCTAAATCTTATCAGATTTGTATGACTGAACTTTTATATTTATGAACTGAAAACAAACAAAACTGGCATCATAAATGATCTGCACTGATTTTTGAAGCATCACCCTTTGGAAAACAGGGATCGGTGAACACCCATTAAAAACTGGGTATCATTAAACGTAGTTTTATGTGTACTGATCCGAAGTTCATTACTGTCTGTAAACTACGTTGAGTCTGTGCTAAATTTCTTTGGTCTCACTCACTACTAACTTCCATGTTGAATGAAAACATTAACCATTTGTTTTGTGCATAGATTTTTTTGCTTGCACTTTTGCAGGTGATCTGGTGTTTCCATAGATTTATTACCATAGAGTTGTCTTTCATGTTGTCACTGTTTTGTTGTTTTTTTGTTTCTGTCCTGAAGATTTCATTGATCATTGCCTGCATCATCGGGGTCATCGCATACCGCTTGGCGGTGTACGCAGCCTTTGCTAGCATCATGAAGGACAGTCCCACCAACCACCTGGAGGTGGTTGGCCCTTACATCACTCCACAGCTGGCCACCTCTGTCACAGCCTCTTGCATCAACTTTGTCATCATCATGATCCTCAACCTCATGTATGAGAGAGTGGCTGTTTGGATCACGGATATGGGTGGGTGAGCGCCACAGCGTGACAGCTGATCTGAAAGTGACGGTTCTTGAAAACGCAACAATGGGAGCATATATTTAAAATGTGTTTTATGACTTGTTTTACAGAAATCCCAAAGACCCACCTGGAGTATGAGAACAAACTGACAGTGAAGATGTTCCTGTTCCAGTTTGTCAACTACTACTCGTCGTGCTTCTACGTGGCCTTTTTTAAGGGCAAGTTTGTCGGATATCCCGGAGATTATGCTTATATGTTTGGCAAGTGGAGCAAACTGAGGAATGAAGAGGTACTACATGCATGTTGGAGCATAAGAGCTGTTTCTTTGATTCAGCTTCAGCTCATATTTTAGTTACTGTTAGTTTTGTTTTTCTATTTCCTGTTTTTCTCTGTCTGTATTCAGTGTGACCCCGGCGGCTGTCTGATTGAGTTAACAACCCAGCTGGTGATCGTGATGACTGGAAAACAAGTGTGGGGCAACATTCAGGAAGCTCTGCTGCCGTGAGTACAGAAACACTGAATTATATTTTATGTGCTGAGTAGATATGTTGTGGTTTGAACACATTGTAAAGCAGGGGTGGATAGCTTCATCTTCTAGCCTACAAAACAGCAGACTTGTAGTTAGGCCTGTCGCAATAAACAAATCAATTAATCACATGATAAATGAAAATTATCGAAACACCTGGGAGTCTATCTGGACAACAGACTGGAGTGGTCCACCAAGGTCAATGCACAGGAAGGGCATGAGCCAATGACTGAGAACAGCATGCTGGACAAACTGCAGGCCATCATGGACGACGACTCCTACCCCCCAACAAAACTGTAGACGGTCTGAAGAGCAGCTTCAGCACCGGACTACACCAACGCTGCTGTTCAGAAGAGAAGAACAAGAAATCTTTGCTGCCAGCTGCAGTTAAATGATTTTATTTCTCTGCCTCCTGACGTGACGACTCTTGGACTTATTAACTGTGTTTCTGTTGATCTGTGGTTTTTGCACCAACTCTGTTTGTTTGTGCACATCTGACAGTGCGTTGTTCTCGCACCTCGTCATGATGCTGCGTTCAGTGTTTGCACCTGTTTCTGAACCGTCTTGTTCTTGCATTCTGTGTTTAAATAGCTTCATGATCCACTGTTGAATGTCACTGGTGTTTTTGTCTATTTATATTTAAAATCATGTAAAATCTTTAAATATAGTCCCTTTACTTTGTGTCTTTAAAAGTATTCATTATTAAAATATAATGAGCATTTTTATCCATTAAAACTCAACACAAAGAGCAGACATTTACAAAGTGAGGGCATCAAAACCTTTCAACAAAATAGGCTCTGCAAAGTTTCATACAGACAGAAGCATTAGAACAAACCTGGTTGTGTTTGACAGATTTCAGTGTTGTTGTGAACAGCTTGTTGATTGTTCTGTCGCCCTCTTGTGTCCTTCAGGTGGCTGATGAACTGGTGGGGCAGCAGGAAGGCAAGGAGCCACCCAGAGAGTCTGTACAGCCGCTGGGAGCAGGACCACGACCTGCAGGGCTTCGGGCAGCTCGGCCTCTTCGATGAATACCTGGAAATGGGTACGAATCTGGTGCAGAGTCAGCTCATTATTTACAAAAAGATAAATGAAATTAACATTTTTAGGTTAATCTTTTTGGAGTCCAAACTATTTACAATAGATATAATTTAGTACTCAGTCCTGACAGGATCTAGACCTCAAGCAGAACCAAAAGCTGCTGAAAAATGTTTCTTTCACTCATTGGTCATTCCATCCTGCAGGTGGTGGTGTTTGCTTGTGTTTTCTCACCTCCAGTCTCTCCTCTCTGTGTCCCAGTGATTCAGTTTGGATTCATCACACTCTTTGTGGCCTCCTTCCCCTTGGCACCTCTCCTGGCTCTCATCAACAACATTATTGAAGTCAGAGTGGACGCCTGGAAGCTCACCACTCAGTTCAGACGTCCCGTGGCATCAAAGGCCCACAGCATCGGCGCCTGGCAGGAAATTCTCAACGGGATAGCTGTGTTTTCCGTCGTCACAAATGTGAGAAGCTGAACTCGGCTCAGAGTTTAGTTTCAGATAGCTAATGTTGGTTTTAATAATATTTGTTCTTGCTTGTAGGCGTTCATTGTAGCCTTCACCTCTGATATGATCCCTCGGTTAGTGTACATGTATGCCTACCAGCCAGAGGGTGAGATGAACATGAAAGGCTATATAAACAACAGCCTGTCTGTGTTTAACATCTCTGAGATCCCACCAGAGAACAGCCCTGAGAACGGAGAAAATCCTCCCTGGTTTAACGACTCCATCACAACCTGCAGGTGAGAGTGGAGAAATGATCGTCTCTTCTGTGTTTTCAGAACTGCAGTGCAAGATATCTTTCAGATTATATGCTATAATAGTTTATTAGGTAACTGACACGCTACAATAAAAGTATTTTATTGAAGCTAGTCTGGTGGAGCAGAGGTTACTATTGTTTAAGTACAGTGCAATTGGAGCATCTTTATGAAACTTCAGCATCAATTTAATGAGCAACAGTATTCAAAGCTGCTCTGTGTGTGTGTGCGTGCGTGCGTGCGTGCGTGCGTGTGTGTGTGTGCAGAACCTAATTAATCGTAACGCAACATGTTGTATTAGCTGATTAACTGTCTGCTGCATGTGTTAAATTGGTCGTATCAAGCAAGAATATGGGAATTTGCTGCGATCGCTCACTGGTAACTTTGTTTCTGTGTGGAAATACTCACAGAACTGCCCGTGCCTGTTCAAATGCAGGAAGAGGGCCACCTGCATCATGAAGGACCCCACTCACCCAGCACACACACTTTTTGCCCCGCTCCCCTCAGGAAGGAGGTTGAGGAGCATTAAGTGAAGAAGCACTAGACTGAGGAACAGCTTCTACCCTGAGGCTGTTAGACTCATGAATCTCTAACCAGAATAATCACTATGAAAAATCACATCATGTTGCTGCTGATCTATTTCATGTTGCTGCTGATCTATTTCATGTTGCTGCTGATCTGTTTCATGTTGCTGCTGATCTGTTTCATGTTGCTGTGTTCATTCGTACTCATCTGCTCACACAGACTCATGTTCGTGCTGCTGTTTGACGTATTGTTTTTATGCTACTAGTTCTTAGCGTATTTTTTAATTAATGTTTTTCTTAGTTCATATCTTAGATGTTATTACTGTTTTTCTTGTACATTTTATTGTGGGATGTAACTGGGACCCTGTGTACATAATTTCATTCCACTACATGTACCATGTGATGCGAATGACAAATAAAGAAACTCTGACTTTGACTCTAATAGGACTGAAGGTTCAATCACAACATCTGTGTGTATGATTCTGGATAAAGTAGTGACTTCTTATCTATCTGCTCTTCATTTTTTTGTAGGTATCGTGATTACCGCTACCCCTCTGGGCATGAGAAGCAGTACTCCCACACTATGCAGTTCTGGCATATTTTGGCTGCCAAGCTGGCTTTCATCATTATTATGGAGGTAAAAAGAGCTCCGGCTTGTCCTTTCCATCATCTGAGCTCAGCCTCACACACTTGCTGTGTGTGACAGTTTAGAGAGGACAAAAACAAGAGATTTGTCCTCTTCAACTTTCAGATGAGACATACCAGTCAGACATTTGGACACCACTGTTCTGTGGCTTTATACTGTGACTTTACTTCTGTTTTCACAGACGTTAGCTTCCTGCGGTTCATGGAAATAATCTAGATAATCACAACTGATGGTGTTTCACACAGAAAAGACAATAAACTCTCAGATTATTTCTCGTGATAAGAAAATATATTTGATGTAGACAGTAGGTGGTGCACGTGGGCAGTCTGCAGGGCAGGATGTTAAAAGTGTTCTGAGGCCTCAGCAGCTCGGTTTCTTTTAGTTTGTTGGTTTAGTCTGACCATTTTGGTATCGACTCTTACCAAGTTAAATTCTCAAACCTCATGTAAGGACATTTTTGTTGCAGGTTTTGTCTTATTTGTCTTTTCCTATTCACAGTTTGTATTCTTTCATTAGATGATGATGCAACCTTACCTTTTTTTAAATTTTCTCACTGGTTCAGTTCACCCTCATCACGATACTGTAGCGTCATCAGTGAGTCAGACTGCAATGATGCAACCTGTTGACTGACTCACTGATGATGCAGCTCCCATGGAATATGTTAAAAAATATATTCAGTGCTTGCAGCATATGTGCAGAAGTGACTGCAGTTTAACCAGTTGTGGCGTTCTTCTTCACAGCACGTTGTTTTTATGGTCAAGTACTTCGTGGCCTGGTTGATTCCAGATGTTCCCTCCGATGTGAAGGCGAGAATAAAGAGGGAGCGCTACCTGGTCCAGAAGAACCTGCACGACTACGAAGTTGAGAAGCTGAAAATCCAGCTCAGCCAACAGAACAACCACGAGTGCACCTGCTCACCAGGGATCTACCCAATTTTACCCACACATGAGATGCTGTCAGACATTTAGCTCAGTGAGTCAGACACGGTGATGTAGACTCCCCTGCTTGTTTTCTGACTCTGAGCATCGGTTGACTGAAGGTTATTTGTTGAACAAACCCGCAGGCGACTTCATAAAGAGCTGTATTCACTCTAAAGTCCCCCCCCCACTTCCATCTATCTGCTGACTGGGAAGGCTGAGAGACCAAGTCTGTGCATGCTGACACCTAGAGACACTTGAATTAGACACAGGGCTCATATTTATGACTCGTCAGTCTCTTTGCTCTAATATTCAACTTGAAGATATTCAAAGTTTGCTGTAAGAAAAGAGGAACTCTTCTTCACTGTGCCTAAAACAAAACGGCTCACTCTTTTTTATTTTTATTTTTTACATAAAACTATTTATTTTAAGTGCCACTATGAGTAAACCAAAGACTGGATGCCTTAATAAATGCCACTTTTTTGTACCTTGCGTGCATATTGTTGAAGACGCCGTTCATGTTCAACGTTGTGTTTTTGTTACAGCTGCGTTCATGGTTTGTCTGCTGTGAGGTTACAAACGATGTCCTTCGATTCATGGGTTTCTTCAGACCGTTACATGTGAAGCAGCTCTTTTGGTTTGATGACGAGAAATCTGTGCTGCTGTTGTGTGAGCGGGGCCAGATCTGGTCCTGCTCTGGCCAGTTGTTGAGCAGCAGCTGCTGCGTGTTGCTGTTTACCCACAGATGAGAGGTGAAGGGTTCCCTTTTTAAGGTCCTTGTGTTTTCCAGCACGTCCCTCCATCTGAGCCCTGTTTGCTCGTCAGCCATCACCCCCAGCAGCCCTCGTGCTCCAGGTTCCTTCAGCTGCGTCTTTGTAGAGAATAAAAGAAACACATTCTATGTTTGATTTTGCACAAAGCACTTAAAGACTCACAAAAAAGATGAACGGCTAAACAATATTCACAGTGTTTCCTGAAGCAGCAACAAGAGTTGTAGGAACAGATGTTTATATTTATGTTTTCATGTAATGAAGATCTGCTGTAGTTTTTGTTTCGTCTATATGAAGGATTCTTCACATCACATTGTTTGTATGGAAGGTTTATGAAGGTTAATATTATCACATAGCGATTCTAAAAGATTGTGACTCGTAGATATGAAACTGTTTGACGTGTTTCGATGTCCCCGTTTGCCTTAGCTGAACCGATGCCTTAATATATCCATTTTCAACACCATTTGTTCAGATTACCTCTGTTTCATGCTCTTTGCGGTTATATTTTAGTTACAATCTTATTATTTCAACATTTCTTTTCTACAAAACAAGACATAAGCCTGTTTACTGTATGCTCAAAGTGAAATTGTTTATATTCATTTTTGTTATGCCTTTTTTCTAATTGTCCCATATCCAAACTGTGATGTGATCCCAATAAATCTAAAATAAACTGAGACCAACTTGTGCGCGTGTGGTCGAACATTTCTGAGAACTGGACCTTCAGTTGTCCTCTTGAGAACATGAAAGTCGCTCCTCACTGAACAGATGGTCAGGAAGGAAAAAAAAAAAAAGATGCTGATAAGTATTCAGTGTTTGCACTGGGTGTGGTTTACACCTAAATGTGCTGCCAGGGTTTTATTTTTTTTTTTTTTGGGGGGGGGCATAGAAAGTGTGTAAAGGTCATTAACATGACAAAGACATGGAGAACACTCAGCATCAGGAAGGCTGATTTTAAACATGAATGAGTTATTGCACTAATAAAAGTAATAATTTGCTCACAGTTGCACCGAGTGACTATAAAGATTTACAGGTGATCAAAGGGCCCTGCTTATAAAATGTACAGTTTACAGTAATGTGATTTTGATCACAACACCTTCTGCAACCTGTTGAGGTTTCCTCTGGTTTAGTACATTGTCTTGGTTATATTCCACCTCCATCAGCCTCCATGGCTGCACCACCTTTTCCTCTGCAGCAGATCAATCACTGAGTGTCCTGACTGTCTCACAGATCCATGTTCTGGGGGTTCTGCAGATTTGATTTAATATTTTTTTTTAGTCTCTCCTGCATTAACTCTCTGATCAGCTGTTCAGGCTACCAGCTGAGGAACGAGGTCCACTGCACTTTAACTTGGCACGTGCAGGCAGGACCTAGGTGGCGTGACTGCGCAGCCGCAGATCAGAAGGCGGAAGAAAAGATTTCTACACCTGTGCACGCGCTCACCGCCTCCACCCCCCCAAAAAAAAAAAAGCCTCAGAATCCAAAATGTTCTTCCTCTGACCGTGTCATCAAATACTCACATGTTTAAACACTCGTCCAGGATTTGAGTTGCGCAACATCCTGCTGTGCAGTGAAGGCTACAGACTTTTTTAAATCTATGAAAATAACACATTCTAACTTTTACTCGCCTATTTTTAATTTGTGAATGCTACACTTTCAATACAAATGGCCGAGAGATACCAGAGCGTGACCAACACGCGTGCGTAAAAACCTGGAGATCCTGCTTCTTTGTTTCTGCAGCAGCGGATTAAATCTGCTCTGAATTCAAATTCACCTCAATCTCAGGTCAGTCAGAGATCACAGGAACATCCAGCTGACAGTCGTTGGGGTGGTAATTGAATTGGGGGTGGGGGGGGGGGGGGGGGGGGGGGGGGTCTCGGAGCTGCTGACAGGTGGAGGAGCTGCGCGCGCTCTCCGCGGTGCTGAAAGCGGCTGCTGACGCTCCCCACCTCAGATCAGACCGGAAACATCACCAAACCTGGCACCCGGCTTCACGCTCGCGCTCATATCTCACAGGATCCCGAGAAAGAAAGAAGAGAAACCTCGTGCGTCTGTTTTTTTTATCTCTTTATTCAGAACTGTCCTCTTTTTCTTCTGCACGGATCGGGATCTGAAAATGGCTCTGCACGGAACGCGCAAAGCAGAAGCGGACTTTTCTGGCTGCTGCTGTTTGGTGAAAGCAGCTCTGTCAGACTAACCCCCCCCCCCCCCCCCTTATTTTTCTTCCCCTCCTGTACATCTTTGCCGGGCATCGAGGCGTTTTCTCACGGAGAGGCGCTACATTTGGATCAATATCTGAAACCAAGATGTTTTTTACGGCTGCACTTCCATTTGTTATATAAGGATTTGGTTTATTTCTTTTTTTATATTATTTTATTTTTTTAGAAGAAAAAAACTTAAGAAATGGAGCTGAACAAAGACCGGATCAAAGAGGGGTTCAAACAATATGCAGGAAAGGCCCTGGGGGGTCTGTACAGGTAAGACAAGACGGGCTGTGTTTGGTGTTAATTCAAGTTAACGCACGAAGCTGCTCTGGCCTTAAAATGTGCCACATTTTACGCATAAATATGAAATGAAATATATTTATGGGATGAATTAGGGGCAGGATGGTGTAAAAAAACACGAGCTGGAACATTTAAGGATCACATATTTCCCTGGAGGACAGCCCCCTCCACCAGCAGCTGCGTGTTTTTAATAATTAATGAAACAGAACGAGTCGTGACACCAGGTCCGAGGATCTCTGGGACCTTAAGGATCGATGTACTCCTGATCAGATCCTGTAGAAACACGTAAAGACACAAATAAAATGCAATCCAGTTAGATAAAATAAAAATTAAAAAAAAGATTAATAACGGAAAGGCTCGGTGAGCAGTTTTTTTTTTAGATGCGTAAAATGGAAATAATTTGAAATTTTCATCCAAAATGTGACTGAAACTGTTTCTATTTCAATTGCTAAACGAAAATATATAAATGTTTTTAATGTGGAGCTTTTCATCCACATTTTTAATGTGACCCTTTGTGGAAAAACCCACCCGACTCGTTCTATCTTTTTTTTTTTTTTTTTCTCACGAAGCTGGATCCAGATGTTCAGCTGGAATCTGTAGCGCAGAAACGTGACTCGTGGCAAAAATAAATAAATAAACAAATAAACCAATAAATCTGGTGGTTAAATCCAGCAGCAGGCCTGGTTGTCCACTCAGTGGGGCCTGTCTCATGTTTAGAAATGAATGCAGAATTTATGCGGTGTGAAAAAACAAAGGTTGGAGAAAATGGTCATTTTATGATTTAAAATATTTAAAAGGTTTAAACGAGCTGTGAACGATGGTGAAGCTGCTGCTGCTGCAATGCGGAATGAAGGTCATTTTTCTCCTCCTTCAGTCTGTTCTTACAGCAAGAAAAGAAAAATGGACGAATTATTTATTTATTTATGTGTGTGTGGAAATAATCAAATGTTTCAGCGCATAAAAACGTCCATTTGTGGTGGTAAAAACGAGAACTTAATTAAATATATATAAACGTGAATATCTTTTATAAAACATGCTGCAGATGATGGTTTATTTGCACAAGTATTTTGTAAAAGAACGAAAAAAAAAAAAAAAAAAGGGTTTTTTCATTCGCAAATCCAGAAATAAATCTGACTGTTTGGTTTGAAGCTGATTTGTCCTCCGTGCTCGGCGCGTGCAGGAAGCTCGAGAAGCGGCAGCAAACAGGTGAGGTCATCGAGCTGACGGAGGACGGGAGACCCCGGGAGGACCAGGAGCGCGTGCCCCCCATGTGTGACTGCACGTGCTTCGGACTCCCGCGCAGGTACATCATCGCCATGCTGAGCGGGCTCGGCTTCTGCATCTCCTTCGGCATCCGCTGCAACCTGGGTGTGGCCATCGTCAGCATGGTTAACAACAGCACAATCCATCAGAACGGCAAGATCATCATCAAAGAGGTGCCTGACAAGCAAACAAACAAACAAACAAACAAAAACACCCGCCTTCCTCTTCATCAGGGACCCCCAGCCCTAATGAGGGCCTCATGAGCCCAATTGTCTTGCAGTTCACGTTCGCATCCAGAATGAAATTGGTGTTTTTAATTGTTTTCATTTTACTGAAAATGTTTGATTTTATTTTTGTTGTTTTTATTTATTTTAACCCAAACCTTTTTCACTTCTGACACGCAAATCATGAAAACACTTGATTGAGTTCATATTATAATAGCACAAAAAAAAAAATAATAATTTATTTATTTTTTGCTTTTGTGAAAATACTTCTTGGCACATATTATATCTTTGAAAATCTTCTTCATATCCCATTAAACGGTGTCATATTTATATTTTTTTTAAAAGCATGCACCTTGCCTAGTTTCTACCTGTGCTGAACAGCTTATCACCAAACAGTGATTCTTGTTTGATGTTGTTTACTGGATTGGGTAAAAAAAAGAAAGAAAGCCTGCAAGAAAATAAAAATCACACATTGGTAATTTTGCATATTTATTCATTTAACTAGCATGTGGATGAACCATACACAGCCTCAGCAGAGTGGCACCTCCTCCTCATGCCTCTCACCAGCTCAGTCACACATGACACTCTTCAGAGTGGTTGTGTTGGTCGCTCAGGAACCAAAAACACACCCACGTTGATCCAACTGGTGTTCACTGGCGTTTAGGTCAGGACTGCAAGCAGGCCAGTCCAACTTCTCCATTCCCAAATTTTGAAGGTAGCCTCTGATGAAGCTCACAGAAGTATACTTCTTGCCCCAAACATTTTGGAGGACATGGTTCAGACTGTAGAGATATGGGATTGTCAGATTGTCAGAGTCAACCAAAGGATACAATGTTCAGTGCAGAGAGGAGTTGACGGGCTACAGTACACACACACACCCACACACACACACACACACCCACACACACACACACACACACACACACACATAA